TATGTAAGAGAGCATCTTAGCCCCTGCCCCTCTTAGAACTCAACTTCGAAACAGAATGGTTTCCATCCAAGCCCACCTCTCTCTGTCACCTTATCCAACAGCAGTGTGGGAGCCGGGGTCCCTCTTGCCCTGAGGTCTCCGCACCTGGACCCCGGTTCCTTAGCCACTGCTAGACCTCTTGGACTCCAGCAGGAGAGAATCTGGCTGCTTCCAGAGCCCCCTTCTGATCTTGGCCATGCCATCAGTCCCCCACCTCCTTCCACCCCTGCTTGCCACTCAGCCCCGAGCCCCCATTGCATGTTCCCGGCATCCAGCTGGCCGGCCGTGGCAAGCACTGGCTCTCAGGTCACCCCTGTCTCCTTGCTTCGCGGTCAGAGGGACAGTCCCCAAGCTGCCCCAAGCCCCCATGGGGGGCTCCAGTGAGTCTGGGCCTTGTTGTGGTCCGATGCCACTGAGCGGATCCTGACTCGAGCAACTTGCTAGGCTGTCACCCTCACAGCTGCAGGTGGCCAAGTCTTGTTCCGAGGGGCTACCAGCCTCTGTGCACAGATGAGCGCTTAGCTGTCCGTGCCACCAGGACTCATCGGAGCATCTCCTTGCCGCCGAACCAGGCCTGCCAACTCACGGCCACCCTGTGGGACAGAGCAGAGGGGCCCCTAAGGCCTCTCCCGCTCGTCGGCTTTGGGGACCAGACCCCAGGTCTGTCTCTCCCATAGCCATCGTGTGGCTTCCAACCAACAAACTTGCCATTAGCAGCAAGCGCTTCACTGTTTGCACCACTAGAGCTCCTGTCTCCCCCTCAGGAGCTGAAAGTCAGGCCACCGAGTGGTGTGTGTGTTCCTGTCGCAAACCTCTCACATGTGTTTGGCTCCTGTGCCAGCCACCCTGCACAAGTAAGTTCTGAGCAGCAGGACAGTGGACGAGGCCTGCCATGCAGGCTTCATCACAGTGGGCTTGGCGAACCATGAGCTAGTGACACAGAGAGCCCCCGTCAGCGTGCAGACGGCCAACAGAGTGGAGCCTCGGCGGAGGACCGGTGGTCCCTTGCGTGGGCAGATAGGCAGTGTTGGACTGGAATCAGGGCCTGTGTTTGAGTCTTGACCTTACCGCCTGTTTGCAGTGGACCCTTAAGCCACGGAGAGACATCATCAAACGGGAGTCATGAGAACACTTACCTCGTGGGACGCTATGAAGGCTTGGTCATAAAACACACGTGCAGCATGGACAGCAGTGCCCAGCAAGACACAGCAAGATCAGACACACACTGGCCTCGTGTGCAGCCTGAAGGGCCACCGCCAGCATCGATGCCTTCAGACTGATGGCCCATCCACATCAACATAGTGAAAAATCCGCCCAAACGGACAGACAGACGACATCATGAGAAAGGGGAGAAGACGGACGTGGCCCAGGACGCCGTTGTACTTGGACACAGCAGTCGAGGGATCAGAGACATGGCACTGGGCACCAACGAGAGTGCGCCTGACCTGAGCTGTGGGAGCTGGACACTGGACCAGGAAGACCGGAGGGGAGGGAGGAGCAGGGGTGCCCCGCAGGCTGCGGGAGGAGCAGACACATTTGCCTCCGAGCAGTCCGGCCAGAATGCGGCTTGTTCAGACGTGCTCTGGGCACGATCGGACCCTGCAGCAGGCTTCACGCTAGGCAAAGTGGAGGGGCAGCAAAACGTGAGGAAGACCTTCAGGAAGACGGGCGGACCCAACGGCCAGGTACGGCCGTGGCTCGTGCAGAGCCCGTTCTGAGAGCCGTGGAGAAGCGGGCAGTCTTGCTTGCTCTCCACTTAGGGTCCTGCTGTTTGTTCCACGACACCGACAGCCGCGTGTGTGGGGCGCCCTTGGGGCTGCTGAGCCTTTGCAGTGTAACTGGGATGGGCAGGGTGACTTTTCCCCACTGCAGGACTTTCCCCTCGGATGGTACACACGCCACGTCTGGTCCCATCTTTTTGTTTCATTTAATTAAGTCCTGGACTGTCCTGCCCCTAACTCCATCTGCACATTCCCCAGAAGGCGCCCAGTGATATTAAAATAACTTTATCTAATATCTCCCGCCTTTAATATTTAATGAGCACCTGCTGCCTGCGAAGCAGAGCCCCGGGTGCTCAGAGGGACCCAGCAAAGCCCCAGCCCCAGAGAAGGAGGAGCCGACACTGGCGCTGACCCACGCTGTTACGAAGGTGACATCCCTTTCATTGAAGGGGGGCGCATGAGGGTGATTCCAGTGCTCAGTCGGCCGGAATGGCCCCGGAGTTTCACGCCCCTCCGCACAGGAGGGGCATGGTCTCAGGCGACCTGTGCTGCGGCAAAGCCACGGCCAGGCAGGAGGAGCGCGGCTGGACTCTTGAATAAAAGATCAGGCTGGGTGGCCGTGTCCTCCGCATGTACGCGCTTCACCCCTGGCCCTGGGGAGCTGGTGTCACAGAGTGTGACAGGCAGAGGGCTAGTGGAGGGGGAACCCGCGCGACAGGCGGGGTGGAGGGGCTGTCTCTGCCTCATAAGTCAGCCCCAAGGACAGCAGGGCCTGAGCCCACATCGTCCGTCCCACGGGGTGGCCAGCCCCAGCCACTGTCGTCTCTCGGCACGTCCGCCAACTGTCCTTTCTCCAGGCAGCGAGCTCGGGGTGCTGATGGGATGTGGCGTGCCCTCCTTGACACCTGGGACAAGGCCTGGGCGGGCACAGGACGGAGGTGCCGTGCTGCCTCCTGCCTCCAGCCCCTCCATCACCACGCACACCCGCCTCCCAGCACCTTTAGCCCAGCTGCCCGTCCGTCCCAGCAGTGCATCGAGTAGTGCCCACAAACAGGCGCACCTGCCTAAGCCCACACTCCCTTCACATCCCGCTCGCTGAGCGTGCACTCCGGCGTTGTGTTGGTAATCTGTGTGTGCGATTAGCTCAGCACGACCTCCCTGGGGCTCTTTCTCACCCCACTCACTGTGAGGTGACCCTGATATCTCATCCAAGGGGCTAGGGGGCCGTTCCTCCCCGCGATCCCAACATGACAGGCTGGGACCTTTAGGAGAGCCGTGCCTCGGGCTGGGTTGGACCCTCAACCTTTGATATCAGCCGAGCCCTTACTGTCTCCCACCAAGAGTCATTATCTCAGGCATGGCCCAGGCCGCGCCCACTGCCAGCAAGCCCCTCTGAGGACCTCATAGGACAGAGCCCAACTGGAAACGGCCTGTTTGAAAGCAGACCTCTCCGCCTTCTCCTGCAGAGCAGCTCCTGGTGCTGGGCCACCACCCTGTTGGTTGGCAGCCAAGCGCTTTAACTGCTGCACCCCAGGGTCCTTTCTCTTGTTTGTGGTTTATTGTCGTGGTACACTGGCTCTCTCTCTCTCTGATCCCCCCACCTTCTCTCCTCACCCCTCACCCTGCTGAGGGGACAGACTCCAGAGGGCCTGCCCACCTCCGTCCTGCTCACCTCCAGTTCCCTGCCACACCCAGCCTCCCCTGTCCCAGGCCCTGGGTCACAGCGGGCTAAGCGCCTAGCTGCTATCCGCAGGGTCAGTTGTTTGAACCCACCAGCCGCCCCTCAGGAGAAAGATGAGGCCGTCTGCTCCATGAAGCTACCCAACCTCGGAAACCCTTTCTGGGGCTGCTTGGAGCGGGGGGGGGCGCTGTGGCCATTCCAGTGCCTGCCCTCCAGACCTTCCTGTCCCAAGGGATGGAGCAGGCTTGCAGACAGATTCCCACGGAAACGCTTCAAGACAAGACAGCTCTGACCCTTAAACCAAGAACCCCGGCTGCCTGAGCCACCTGGCCACCTCCCACCGCTGGAGGAGGTAGGCCGACTGTCTGGTCTCAGGAGTGGCTATCCGGGCACACTGACGTCAGAGCAGGTGCGGGAGTGCAGTGCAGTGGGAGGCCGGGGTCGCGTGGGTGCTGGGTAGTTCCCTGTAGAAAGCCAAGCTCCAGATCTGCGTCCCTAGAGGTGAGCGTGGAGAGGTTAGCAGCCAGGTGTGTGTCCATCGGCATGGGAGGAAAGATGGCGGCACAGAGCGCCGAGGGAGGACGGGCCTGGCCTTCTCCCAGCTGCTGTAGCACAACCAGACCCTGGGGAGGTCTACAGGGTACTCTGAGTCATACCAGACCCAGACTGCCAAGCCTTGTCTGCTTATGCCGGGCGCACGCGCGTGCCCGTTGTCCATGCTGTCTTTGGGGCCAATTGACTTGTCACTTGCTGCTCAGGTGGCAGGCGGGCAAGACTGGTAGCTGATGATTGTGCTTCCCGATCTCATTGTCTGCACACAGCACGCCTCTCTAGAGCACAGAACATAATTCGGAGCCTCATTGCGAAACCACGTCTTGTAATGGTCCTGGTGGAGACGCAGCACAAGTAGGGGCGACGGATTCATGGTCTGACTTGTTCAGAAGCGTTTTTTTCTCAAAACCCTGAGAGACCAAGCTTCCTGGTGTCAGGCAGAGAGGGTGGTACCCCCACGCCTCGGGTCCTCCGTCACCCTCAGTCCAGGACGGAACTCCTCCCTGTGGCTGTGTTCAGCCCAATAGGCAGGTCTCTGCAGGGTCGGTGACGGGCGCGCCGGGGTCCACACACCTTGCAGTCACCCACCATGGGAGCCTCAAAGGGAGCACGGACGCCAGGACAGAGTTCAAGGTCAGGCAGGAGGGGATGGGGGCTGCCATCAGCAGCCTGAAGCAGTATGTCTGGGCCGCACCCATTGCACAGCCCAGAGTGCACAAGGAAACAAGAGGCCCGTGCTCGGGCAACACAGAGGTGTCTCCCTGCTTTCCCCACGTGCTTGCTGCGCCACGACGATCCCCCACTGGTAATTCTCATTTCCTCCATGAATTTCTGGCAGAATGTTGACAATGGATGGCATTTTCAAATAGCTTTTTGTTTTTATTAGCACACATTATTAAAGGGAAATGCTCCCTCCTTCTTCGATGTCCACAGGACATTAAGGGAAGGACAGAACTCAGTTTGCGGGAGCATCTGCTGAACACGCTTGCTCCCTGTGTTTTCCCCAGGAACTGATCCCGGAGTTCTATTACCTGCCCGAGATGTTCGTCAACAGCAACGGGTACCACTTGGGGGTCCGAGAAGACGACGTGCCAGTGAACGACGTGGACCTCCCCCCGTGGGCCAAGAAGCCCGAGGACTTCGTGCGGATTAACCGCATGGTGAGCGGTCTGGGGCTGGGTGGGGCCTGGTTTTTGTCTCGAGACACGAGGTCCTGGCAGACCTCAGGGCGGGGAGGAAGGAGGAGCCCGGCAGTGCCGAGGTCAATGGAGCACCAGCTGCTGCGGCGCACACAGTGTGGTCGTGGCTGGTTTCTTCAAGTCAGACTGCTTTATGAGGAGGGTTTGCACTTCGGTGGCTCTGTGCGTTCTCAGAAGACTAAAGGTGGGGAGGCAGGTGTGAGGTGGGGGGACCTCACTGTGCCAGAGGAAGGACGAGGGCATGTGTTCCTCGCCCTCGCCCCGTCCTCTCTGCAACACCCGGAAGACAGTTTGGACAATGGCGTCGTTTTGTGAAGAAGGCCCCACTCTCCCAAACTCTTCTCTGGTAAGGTCACCTGAAACCCAGATCCCCCACTTCTCTGGCCCACACAGGGAAGTCTAGTCACAGGCCTCTCCCCACACCTCTCTGTCACCAATTCCCCAGCAAGCATCTTCCAGGTCTCTGACCAGCCGTTCAAGCCATCGATCATAGAAGATGACTCTCTTACACCGGTCGCCTCTCCTTCCAAGCAAAACGAACAGCCAGGTGCACCGCTCCAAGCCCAGCCCTCGGGGAGGCTTTCCTGTCACCACTGCCCTTCAGGGAGGCCCCAGAGGGGACTGTAGTGCCGCTGCTCGCCAAGTCCCAGGGGTCCCTGCGTGTCGTGTAGAACCACCAGTGAGCCAAGCACCAGTGGTCTCTCCTTCAGCAATGGATCGAGGAGCTCACCAGGAGGCCATGGTGCAGACGGGTGGAAACAACGGCGAGGCTTTCTGCTCCCTGCCAGAGGCCCCGTCTAGGAACCCGCAGGAGCAGTTCTACAGGGCCACGACGGAGGCGGCATCCACTCGACGCAGTGAGCTTCTGAGCGACGGAATGGAAGCCCGGGACAGCTGAGCCACTTCTTCTCGCAGCTTGCTTGTGCCCTGCAGGCCCCACTGCAGCCCACCCCCACGCGTGCCACGTCCATGGGATGACAGAGTGCTGTGCACGTCCAGCTCCGTGACCCTGTGTCAGATGACACCAGTTCCTGACGGACACTCAACCCACATGGTGACTGGGTGGCCCCTGGTGACGTCGGGCTCCACTGAGGCCACTCACGAGGCAGAAGCTGCTTCTCCAGAATGAGAAAAAGAAGACCTGTTTCAGATGACCTCCAGGGTTTCAGGAGTTAGGATTTAAAACCCATTTTGTTGGGTGTCATGATTTAACCCATAACAGACAGTATAAAAGAACATTTAAATGCTAACATAGATTTTCCTCTTTATTTTAAAAGAGAAGAAAATAGATGAAAGTCGATTTCGCATAAATAAAGTTGCTTGTTCATTTGTAATTCCTCCATGTGTCTGTTGCACGTAAATTAGATCACTTGCTCCCAGTGTCGGCGTTGCCAGTGTGAAAACTGACTTGTGTCTGTAAGCCTCCTGCCTCATCGAGCCTGCCGTCGCAACAGCCCAGTGCTGCTGAGCCCGCCAGGATGCGATGCAACGAGCCTTCAAAGTGAAGGCTCACCACGAGGTTCCATCTATCTGCACTCGGGAATCAGATCAGTACAACTGTCTTCAAGTTTAGGCACCTACCACTAACGCTAGTGGTGAAGACATTGAAGAATTCTGTCAAAGTCTTCGTCTGAAATACATGGATCATTATTGGTGATTAGAATGGAAAAGCCGGAAACACGGAGGAACAGTAGTTGGAAAATAGGGTCTTGGTGATGGACATGAAGCTGGAGATCGCGTGATGCGATTCTGCAAATCCAGGGCCTTCACGGCAGATACCATTGTGTTCAGCAACACAAATGGTGACTACCTGTGCGGACTTCTCCAGACGGAAGACACGGATACCAAATTGCTACCCACATGGGAAGAGACACGAAGAAGCTCGCTATCGGTACCTGACACCAGGCCAGGGGATGACTGTGGAGCAGACCATCAATGGATTGTACTTAAGTTCAGGTTGAAGCTGAATAAAATCAAAACAAGTCCTTGAGAGTGAAAATACAACCTCGAGTCTATGCCACCTGAATTTTGAGGCTATCCCAAGGGCAGACTTGCTGCGCTAAACACTGATGGCAGAGGCCGGATGAGCTGCGGGGAGACAGCACAAACAGTGTCCTAGAGGAAGCAAAGGGTTGTTAAAAAGACACGGGAGAGAAGAGCCAAGTGGATGTCAAAGGAGACTCTGAAGCTTGCTCTAAATTGTAGAGTAACTAAGGCAAATGGAAGAAAGGATGATGTCAAAGAGTTGAACAGAAATTTTCAAAGGACAGCTTAAGGAGAGAAAGTAGAATATAATATTGAATCGTGCAAATACCTAGAGTTGGTTAGAAACCCAAATGGGAAGAACATGCTCAGCATATCTTAAACTAAAAGAATAAAAAAATTCAAGCCTCAAGTTGTAATATTGAAAGACGCTATGGAAAAATATTGACTGATGCGGGAAGCAACCAGAGGAGAGAGAAAGAACACGGAGTCACCGTGCAATAAGAACTAGTCGACATCCCACCATTTTAGGAGGTAGCATATGAGCAAGACCCAATGGTGCTGAAGGAAGAAGCCCAGCTGCACTGAAAGGATTAGCCAAGAAACAAGGCCTCAAGAATTGATGGTCTGTGGAAGTGACCCATTGAAATGTTCCAGCAAGCTGATGAGGCACTGGACGCCCTCACTCATCCATGCCAGGGAATTTCGAAGACAGCTGCTTGGCTGACTGGAAGAGATGCATATTTTATCTACTCCAAAGAAAGGTGACCCAACAGAATGCTCCAGTTATAGAAAAATATCACTAATATATCTAAGTAAAATTTTGCTCAAAATCATCCAACAACAGTTGCAGCTGTACACGACAGGGAACTGCCAGAAGTCCAGGCCAGCTGCAGAATGGGACATGGAACCAGGGCTATCACTGCTGGTGTCAGCTGGATCTTGGCGGGAGGCAGAGAGCACCAAGAAAGATGAGGTACTTGAGTCTCGTTGACTACGCCAAGGCATTCGACTGCGTAGATCATAACCAACTGAGGAGAACCGCGAGAAGAAACGTGGAGCTTGTCCGTGGATGCAGAGGCAGTCGTGAGGAACGAGCACCGGCAGACGGCCTGGTTGACGATCGGGAAAGGTGCGCAGCAGGTTCTGCCCTGTGCCGTACCTAGTCCGTCTGCGTGCAGAGCAGCCTCAGAGAAGCTGGAGCCTAGGGAGAAGAGCGAGCGCAGCCCCGGGATCGGGGAAGGCTGATTAACAGCCTGCTGTCTGCAGAGGATGCTACCTAGCTTGCTGAAAGAGAGGAAGAATCGAAGCACCTGCTGACGCAGAGCAGGGATTGCAGCTTTCAGCAAGATCCTCACAACTGCACGGAGAGCATCACGATAAACGGAGAGAAGAGGGGCCTGGCCAAGGGTTCCGTCTCGCGTGGAGCCTCCCGCCATTCGTGCTCAGGGCAGCCGCCGCCAAGAGAGCCAGCAAAGCCCTGCCCTGGGCCACTCTGCTGCACAAGACCTCTTTGAAGTGTTGGAGACCCCAGGGTGTTACTCTGAGGACTAAGGTGTGCCCGACCCCAGCCAGGGTACATTCAGTTGCCTCACAGACATGTGAAAGTCGGACACTGCCTAAGGAAAGCCAAGGAAGAGTGGATGCCTTTGAATGGTGTCGCTGGTGAACAGTACTGAAAGCAGCCTGGACTGCCCAGAGAACAGACAGCTCGCACAGGGAGCACAGCCCGAGGGCTCCCTAGAGGCAAGGGTGGCGAGACTTTGTCTCCTGGACTTTGGACGCATTGTCAGCAGAGACCAGTCCCTGGAGAAGGACACCCTACGTGACAGAGTGGAAGGGCAGCAGGAAAGAGGAAGGCCCTCAGCAAGATTGCCTGACACAGTGGCTGCGACTCTCAGCTCACACCTGAGAACACTGTGAGAGTGGTGCCAGCACGGGTGGTGCTTGGTCATGGTGTCCGCAGGGTCACCGTGAGTCGGGACTGACTGGATGGCACCCAGCACCGCCGTCTAGTCTCCCTGGAAAGGGGATGGCCGTGCTGGCAGTGGACTAGTTTGGGACTATTTTGTGTCACAGTGGTTCAGCATGTGTCTTTTAACCACAGTGATGATGGTTCACTGGACCCCATCTACCTTCTCTGTGAGAGAGGGGAGCGGCAGCCTGCCCCCACAAAACTAACACCGAGGAGACCCTCAGGGGCCATCTGTGGTGTCTCAGGAGCTGAGGTCACAAGCCCTCAAAGTTTTTCTCTTACATACTCACAAGACGTAGCCTTCACAACTGGAGACAGATAAGCAATGATGCATTTACACCCTCTTGGCAAATATCATGGAGCATCCTGAGCAAAGGAGAGACCATTGTGGTGACAAGAAGGCAGATCCGTCTGTGTTCATGGAGGAGGGGAAGAAGCAGAGCTCGGAGCTCTCCTGCTGTTGGGAGCCTCATTCCACCTTCCAAGGGGGATGTAGGAATTCAAGGAGGCTTGTCAAGGAAGCCTGACCCTGTGGCACAGAGGGCACGATCCCAGATCCCCTCTGCTTGCCCTGTCTTTGTGCTTGGGACCACCCAGAAGCACTATCAGGACTGTTAGAGGTCTTTCCTCTCCTGTGCGGGTCCCTGGCCAAATCATCAGGGCGTAACCAAGAAGGACCAGTTGTTGCTGGTCCCCAGATGCATGGCCAGCTCCCTTCTGCCTGCCACAAAACCTGGAGCTGACACACTGTACCAACCGTCATGTGTCCACGACCGGATTTCCTTCTCTTGTGTATACAGAGGACAGCGTGGTTTTGCTTGTATCCATTGTGGCTTTGATTTCTGATGGGAAACAGTGCCTATAATTGTTGAGAGGTGATGGCTTGTGACCGCGGGGACACCACTCACTCACCCCAAGCCTGGTGCCCGTGTGAGAAACCCTGAAAAGTGGCCAGGACATGGCTGCCAGCTACAGCACAGATCTACAAGGTCTTGGTTTCTCCGTCAAGACTGGCCGTTCACCGAGCACGTGGCCACTCCAACTCACAAGTAATATCCATGGTCAACTCTTCACATCTCAAAATCCAAGCCCAGCTCATTTTACAGGTAGATTCTACCTATTTCCCAGAGGTAGTTACACCATGGCTCATACAACTCGTGCTAGGAAAGGTGGGCACCTTCAAGCTCTTTCTGTGCTACTAGCGTGCTTGAGTGTGAGCACACACGAGGGGGCTCCAGACAACCCCCGGAGAAACAGAACGGGCAGGTTGTAGACTCAGATGTACAGTAAACCCACCACCAACGAGTACATTCTGACTCACAGTGAGCCTGCACTGGGTCCCCGAGGATACCTCCTCTTTCTGCTTCCAAGTGGCTGGTGGGTTTGAACCACCTACCTTGAGATTAACAGCCCAGTGCCCAACCCCCTGCACCACAGGGCTCCTTCCCTGTATGACGGGGCCACACCTGCCCAGCTACCAGAGGTCGCCTCCACCCCAGAAGGAGGCTCCTTTGAGCAACGTGCTGCTTCTCAGTGTCTGCAGGGATGCCCAGGTGGATGGTGGGCAGGCAGTGCAGCCCCTCAGGCGCCCTTCCCGCTTGTCCCCCACTGCAGGCCCTGGAAAGCGAGTTTGTGTCCTGCCAGCTGCACCAGTGGATGGACCTCATCTTCGGCTACAAGCAGCGGGGCCCAGAGGCTGTGCGGGCCCTCAATGTCTTCCACCACCTGACCTACGAGGGCTCCGTGACCCTGGACAGCATCAGTGACCCGGTGCTCCGAGAGGTAGGTGTGCCGCCGCTCTCTGAGCACCCACCCACAGGCCCACCCCTGCCAGGCCAGGCCCTGTCCTGGAATGTGGGGAGGGAGTCCTGGGACAATCCCTTCCCTTCCCAGTACCCCCCAGTTTTGTGTGAAAGGGGCCTCTGCCCCTCCTGGCTCTTGCCGTCTGCAGGAAGGTGCTGGGTGTGTGTGTGGGGGGTGCTGTCCCTGGAGGACACAGCTTTGTGTAGGAGCCCTGGGGCCTCAGTGGTTACCTACCAAGCTGGACCGGCGAGGTCTGCATGGAAACCACAGGAGGAGGAAGAGTCTTGCAGCTCGTGTGGGGTTAGGGCCTCAGAAACCCACAGGGGTATCTTCTCCGTCCGAAAGGTTCGCTATGAGTCAGAATCGACTCGATGTCGGTTTTTAATTTTTAGTAGTTTGTGATCCTGGATGCTATGTAGTTTAGGCTTTGGGTTGCTCACCTCAAGGTCGCAGGTTTAAAACCACCAGATCCTCCTCCGGAGAAAGATGAGGCTTTCTACGCTCATAAACCACAGCCTCAGAAACCCACAGCGGCAGTTCTGCCCTGTCGCTGCGACTTGCAGTCAACTTGATGGTGGGGGCTTTGGACATACATGCCCCAAAGCAGGCCACCTGGGAGACTGGGTGTCCCCACCCTGACCCCCAGGACACAGAGGGAAGCTCCTGGTGGCCCACTGCACTCTGGAAGTACACAACCGTCTGCTCTGACCCACAAAGCCAATACCTGCAGAGACAGGCAGGCACAGGCATGTATGCAGAAGCCACTTTGACACCCTTAACTCTTTGGTGGATCCCTGCTTAGGGCTTTACAGGTTCAAAAGTGGCCTCAGTGTGTGGGCGACATCGTAGGGCAGCTGCTTCAGGCTCCGGGCTCCTGCTGGTCCCTCTCCCAGGAGACGGGCTCGTGTACTGTAGTGCTTGCTCACATGAAACACTGATCAGCACACGGAATACATAACACACGACCCCCCCATGCGCCTGCCTGGTCCAACACCAGCAGCTCCCGTCTGGCCACCTGGGAGCCCCAGATCCCAGCTGGAACCTGCACCAAAGCTTCAGGTGCGGGCCCACTCCCTGGCAGGTAAACCCGTGGAGCCAGCCGCACTAAGGGGACAATTACAGCATTCAGATGTCATGGATTAGACCCTGGGCAGCACAGCGGGAATGCTGACAGCCGCTGACAGCCCGTCCTCTGCTCGGGCAGGAGAGCTTACCTTACCTGTTTCTTGTCAAGCCGTCATTGCTCGTCAAGTGAGGCAGGAATGTGACAGCACCTCCCCAGGATGTGGCCCTTCCTGGGATGGAAAGAGGGGTGCACTGAGGGGAGAGGGCTCCCACCATCACCTGGCCACCTGCCCTTCCTCGGTGCCAGTTCATGTACACGTGTGCGTGCATAGTGCTGGCTCTGGCGGGCCTGACTGCACATGCCCTGGGATTCCACCAGGAGGCCCCGTACTGTTCACTCATCTGAAGGCCCCTACCTCTGCCGCCCTCACTGTGCCCCATGGCCCAGGCCAGCAGCGTCGGCCTCACCCAGCACCTTCTAGTCAAGATCCCAGGTGGCCAGAGATGTGAGGGTTTGGGAAGCTTTGACCAAAGCCCTGTTGGAATCCTTTGGAAATCTTTAAACAACAACAACAAAATTAATGATTTTTTCCCCTGTAAAAGTAAAGACCTTCTTAGGCAGTGAACCCCCATGTACCTTTCATCCCATTTCAACATCGTGACTCTTGTTCCAGCCCTGCCCTCACCCCACCCCCCACCCAACCCCATGGTGGCCGAGAACGCAGAGTGGTTCCCACCAGTGGCTCCCAGGTGGCCATCCTGAGGGGAGCAGATGCCACCTCCGGATCCCACCGAGCGGCTGACAGACTTGAACCTCCAGCCTCTCCATCAGCAGCCAAGTGCTTGACCCGGCACTCCATCAGGCCCAACTCAACCCATCTCTCTGGGAACCAACCCCTTCTTCAGGCAGGAGGCACCTTCTGAAAGTACCCGCCGTCTTCCTCCAACCTCGCTTCCTTCTGGAAAAGCTCCCGGCAGATCGATAGGGAAAAGGCATGGTGTCTCATGCCTCGCCGAGTGCCTGCTCCTGTGGGCTCGGCCCTCTCGGCCCCGGGTGTGGCCATTCCCGCAGAAGGAACAGTAGCTGGCGGTTTTCCTTGCTCCAGAATAACTTGTTCCCGTTACAGGAGCCTGGAGTGGGCTTCTGTCTCACAGAACCAGTCCCTTCACTGCGTCTCGCTGTTCCATTCATGCTGTTGGATCATTTAGGATGGGCCACTCGCTGGAACCTATTCTCTCTCTCTCTCCCTCAATAGCCAATACCCTCCAACTCTCTACCCCGGCAACCGATACTCTCTGACGCTCTACCTCAATAAC